TCCTAACTGCTCACTTCACCTGCCAGTGGCTGGGGCAGGTACTGAAGGCAAGCGTGAAGCTCCAGCGTGCTCAGCTGTCGTGGCTGTAAGCCTGCACGTGCTCTGTGCCTCCTGACCCTTTTGTCCCCAAACCACCCAATTCTGTTTTTCTTCTAACTAACATAGAGAATATTTCCAGGCATTAAAAAACAACAACAACAAAAAAAAAACCATACAAATTATACTACTTTTCCACACCTGCAATTAAAAACAGTGTATGCTCGTATTAACTAATGGCTGCTCCTCCAGTAGAAGAGATTAATAGATTCCTCTTCCTGCACTGCCATATTCAGGGCTTAGCACATGGCCATTCACTCCTCTCTCCATTCCTGCATGCCGGTTAGCCCTTCTCCCCTTCAACACTTTCCTAATGCATCCTAGATAGCAGAATGGAAGCATTTTCACATTCTGTTGTTTCACGTTTTAAAAATCTCTCATGAGAGTCCTTTTAGCCCTCTCACAATGCATAACTCTAGAGCAGTGGCAGTCATCCCCAGAGAGCTCCTCTGCTCTTCAGTCCGACACCTCCCGCTCCTTCCCTTCAGGCGTAAGAAAACAAAGCCAGCGGGTTATCCCCGCCACTGCTCCTCCCTTGCTGCCCGACTTCCAGGGAGCTGGGCTCAGCCTGCCTCCTCCGTGCCTGCCCCCAGACAACCCTCCCTACCGAAGCTGTTAGTCTCACTGCTTAGTGCTGCTCAGTTAAGTATTCCCTTCCCTTTACTTTTAATCTTTCCCTCTCTGATTTCTACCATCAACCGAGACATGATCTGTAGACATCTTCCCTGGACACTGGCCCCGTCTCTCTCTACCAGATGATCTCTATGACCAAATTTCTTGAGAGTCTTTACTGGTTGTCCCTACTTCCTCACCTCCAATTTACTTCTTGATACACGGTGCACCTCCTGTTTTTGAAATTGTCCCTACTAAGGTCGCCCTTGTGCCGGTCACCCCCCTCATCGTCCACCCTGTCTTCACACAGCTGCCCTCTTCTCCCTTCTCGAAGCCTCTCTCTTGGCTTCGCCAAAACCACTCTCCTTCTCAAACTCCTTTGCTGTTTTTTCTTCTACCACCTGAGTCTTTAGAGTGTTCTAGAATTGCACTATCAGTCTTCCTCTCTTCTTACTCTACAGCTTTAAACTAGAGAACTGTAAAAATGGCTTCAACTTATTCAACTGTGGCCATCAACTTTGTGTTCAGGGGCCAATCTCCACCTTGTGGTCTATCCTCATGTGTCCAAAACCTCCGTAACCTCTCCCCCGATGTACTACAGTTATCTAAACCCGGGACCAAACCAGCAATGCCCCGCCTCAAGCCATTCTTCGTTGTAATTGATGGCATTCCACACACCATTACCAAAGCGGGACCCTGGACGTACCTCAGCTGCTCCACCTCTCCCCACCCTCATCCAAGCCATCGCCAAGGCTGTATAAGCCTCCTCCCAAGGCTGTCCAAATCCGTTTCTTCCACTTCCTCTCAAATAGTCACTATTACTCTTTATGGAGACCCTGTAGTG